TTTGTTGATGAATGACATTAGGTTACTTCCTTATCTTGGCTATTGTAAACAATGATGTTATGAACACTGGTGTGCATGTATCTTTGTAAAATAGTGTTTTGGGGTTTTATTTTGGGGGGGCAGGGGGTATATACCCAGGAGATGAATTGCTGGATCATATGGTAGTTCTATTTTTAGTTTTCTGAGAAACCTCCATACTGTTTTCCACAGAGGCTGTACCAGTTTACATTCCCAACAAGAGGTTGCCAAGTATTTTTGTCAAACTGACAGAAATTCAGACACAAGAAGAAAACAATCAAGGTATTAATGAAAACAAATTTCAAAAATGAGCTATCTGTAGTATCCCAGGGTTAAAACAACACAAATGGAAATTCCCTGGTGGTCCAGTGGTTAGGATTCAGTGTTCTTACTGCCAGGCCCTGGGTTTGATCCATAGTTGGGAAACTAAGATCTCTCAAACTGTGCAGCATGGCCAGACAAAATAGTGAAACATATAGGGATAATAGGAAAAACTAGAAATATGTCCATATGATTAACATCAAAAAAGAAGGATTTTTTGATTGTTGTTATTAATGACTTTTGCCAGCTTAAATCATGGCTGTTATTATATTTGGTATATCCATTAAGCAGAGTTCTATTGGCAAAATCCAGCCAATATATTGGGTACCATATGGTATTTTTTTTCCTAGAGTCTTCCTGTCTTGTGGCTAGAGGTGAGTGTACTCTTTACAAGAATGCCTAGCACTTGTGAATCCTCATTTCACAATACGTGTGACATTGTGTTTTCATTTTGTTACCTATCTAACTTTCAGTATGGGGCTGACATACCCTGTCCATGAAACTGGGGGATCAGTTATGTGTAGAAGTGGTTACACATCTCTTTTCTCCAGGTTTCACTGCATCACTTGCAGAATCTCTAGGATAAGCTGAAGACACTAAAAAGTTTTATGAAATACCAGGAAATGTTCCAGAAAGCAAAGGGTATGGTACTGTGGTGCCAACTCTGGGGAATCAATGTGAGGCCTTGTTACTGACCCACATAGAGCTAAGCTGGCCGCAGACCTGGGAAAGGTCTGGAGGGCTAAGCTTTATATTTCAATCCTGGAAATGTATCAAATAGCCTAGCTGTTTCTGCAAATTCATAAAATATTTTATGCAGGCTAAGTCACTGAATAAAGTGTGTATTGAGTGCCCACCATATGCAACACACTGTGCTCAGTGTTGGGAATAGGGTGATGAGTAAAATAGCCCCATACTGATGGTCAGAGAGGTAACAAAATTAAAATGCAATGTTACAAATACTGTAACACTGGTATTCACCAATGCTGTGGGTTCCCATAAAGAGTGCATTTATCTCTAGCTGTAAGACAGAGAGACTCTTCCCAGGGGGAAAAAAATACTATATGGTGCCCAACATGTATTGATCAACTTATCAATAATCACTCAGAAAGGAAACTCTAATATGACCATGCTAAGAAGCTTAAGGGCAGGTGACATCTGTCACCAATTTTTAACATAGCATCTTAATTTTTTTTTTTAAAGGATATGTTCATCAGTTCTGCATGTGGCATAAAGTTGGGAGAGAGCTGAAAAACTGATGACGGAAGCAAGATTTAAAAGGATATCGCAGTTTGGGAGGATGGCCTGAAATCAAGAAAAATGTAAAAGTTTGTATAAAAAATATATAAGAACAGAAAGAGGAAAAGCTGTCTCAGAAGCAGCCTGTGTGGGAAGACCTGGGGAGTGATTAACCAGAAGTTCTTGGTTTGACTTTAAGCTGCTTTAATAAAGCAAAGTATCATTACTAAACTGTGGTATCCTTGAGGGCAGGAATCACATCTCAAACACTGAATAGCCCTCCGTTGCTTCACATAAGGCTTAATACAGAGCGTGCGCTCCATAAAGCTTCCTTAACTGGGGTCAAAACTAAGGAAGCCCAAAGCAATAGGCTTTGTGAACCAAGGGGCTTTGGTCAGACCATCAGGGTAGGCTATCAACTCTCCTCCTACATACCACCTTCCTGATACAGCTCTGGGCTTTCTCCTCCAGATTTCTTCTTCTTCTCCAGTGAAAATCAGCCTCATCTGCATGATTGAGCAGCTGACCTGATCCCCGCTGACTTCCAGCCCCACCTCCCTGGACCCTCCTTCTTCCTCATGTGCTGCCCCAGCTCTTTCCTCCAAGGCCCTGGCGTCCCTTCCAGCCTGAACATGTGCCAGCTTCTGATGGGAGACTTCTCCCGAACCCCTCACACGAATCCACGTTCCACTTGCTCCTCCTGGTTCACCATGATTTGTCATTGATACCTACATGGGAAAACCTCCCCTGAGCCCTGAGCCCAGGGTGTGTCTCGGTTCCAGATATGTCTCCTTTCTGGTACTTATCATCACCATGCAGTGTTAATGAGGGCAAGGATCTCAGCTGCCTTGTGTCTTCGCCCACTGAATCCCCAGTACCCAGATCAGAGTGTTTCAAGCTTGAGTGTGTCTATGAGTCAGTGCCCTGAGGGATCTTGCTAAGCTGCAGATCATTATCCAGTAGGTCTAGGGTGGGACCTGAGAATCTGCTTTTCTTCTAATGGATGCTGATGCTATGGGTCCTCTGACCCACTTTGAGTGGCCAAGTCCTGCTACACTGCTTGCCCGTGTGTCCTCTCTGCTTGCAGTACATCCCCTTCTTTCCATCCTCACAGCTATTGCCTTATGGGAATCCTTTCACATCTCTTATCCAGATGATCTGATCTCCCAGCTGCTCTTCCTGCCTCAGTTTCCTGGAGGTCCAACACCTGGCTCATACAGCTTGAAAGCATCTTTCTATAGATGATATTTACACCCAATCATGTTGTCTCTCTTCAGATTCCTTGTCACCTTGTAGGGAAAAAAATCCAAGCTCCTCACTATGGCTTTCAAGGCTCTACCCTGCTGAGTTTTCTGGCCCTAACTCTTTTGTAGGGTGCTCTCCCACCCCACACTCCTGCCCAATCAAAGCCTTTGCAGTCCCTGGAACTTACTAGGCTGTTTCATTCCTCCCTCCTTTTACTCAGGCTGCTGACTCTCCCTACAAGACTATCCCCCAACTCCAACTGCCTATCAGATGTCCACATGCACACTCTGACTTTCTTCCCCTGGGTGGGAAGCATTTCCAAGGATTCCCCTCTCCAAGGAAGACTGGCAGTTCCCTCACCAAATCCAAGCTCATGCTGCTCACTGCACAACAGGCCAGCAAATAGAGAGACAAGTCGTTGGGACAAGAAATCAGGACTTCATTCAGAAAGTTGGCAGGCCAAGAAGATGGTGGACTAATGTCCCAAAGAACCATCTTTCCTGAGTTAAATTCAAGCTTCCTTGATACTGGAATGGATGGGATAAAATCCTGGATCTGAGATGTGTTCATTTCTTCCTTCCTGCAGCCATTTGCAGGTGGGTCTGGTCAGGAAGCTTCCTGTGGGCTAAACGTATTTTAGCTTAGTGCTCATTACACAGGAGGCAGGGGTCCTACATGTGGGTCATTATGTATACTTTAAGCTATAGGCAACATCCCTTTACTGATGGTGTGTGCGCATGCTAAGTTGCTTCAGTTGTGTCTGACGCCGTGTGACCCTGTGGACTGTAGCCCACCAGGCTCCTCTATCTGTGGGATTCTCCAGTCAAGAATACTGGAGTAGGTTGCCATGCCCTCCTCCAGGAGATCTTCCTGACCCAGGGATTGAACCCAAGTCTCTTACATCTCCTGTATTGGCAGTCAGGTTCTTTACCACTAGCACCACCTGGGAAGCCCTTCTTTAGTGAGTAACCTGTAGCAGAAGCAATAGAATACAAAGGTTAAAATAATTTGCTCTTCCCTATTACAGTTTGGGTTTCACTGTAGCTCCCTATCTTATTTACAGGACAGCCTCCTCTTTCTAGGGGCTTCCCAGGTGAAGTTAGTGGTAAAGAATCTGCCCACCAATGAAGGAGACATAAGATACTTGGGTTTGAGCCCTGGGTCAAGAGAATCCCACAGACAGAGGAACCTGGCAGGCTGCAGTCCATAGGGTTGCAAAGAGTCAGACAATACTGAAGTGACTTAGAACACATGCATGCACTCCTCTTTCTAGGTGGTGAGTCCTTTGAGCACACAACTGTCCCTCATTCACTGTTACCCTCACACCTGGCATACAGTTGACACTTAAGTCATGTGTAAAATATATGAATGGATGATGTCATGCTTTGCTCCAGATGCTACATTTTAAAGGGGAGCCTTCCTTCTAAGGAAGGAGCTCCAGCATTGCCAGAATCCCTGTGATGTGAGAAACAATTCAAAGAAAAATCTAAACATAAATCCTAAAGAAAAGATGTGGCCACACACAGTAGGTGCTCAATAACTATTTACTGAATGAGTGAACAAATGAGTCATAATAGCTCTCCTCATATGGAGCTTTCAGGTAGAAGAGTGTACATGCATCTTGAGTCACCTGTAGTTCCAGAGGCTCCAACATTACATCTGAGGCAGAGGTTTCTGTCCAAGAAAATAATGAATTTCCTAACAAGACCAAGATGTGCCAAATTGTACTTCCTTTGGGAGCCATCTAAATGTTTATCTTTCTTTTACAAAAATAAAAACAAAATAACACAACAAAGTCTCTGGACCAAGTTAGAGTTAATTTTGTGGCAAATGACAGGAAAAAATGTTAAGTGGTGGATGTGTATGTTAGTTGCCCAGTCGTGTCCGACTTTGTGATCCCATGGACTGTAGCCTTCCAGGCTCCTCTGTCCATGGGATTCTGCAGGCAAGAACACTGGAGTGGGTTGCCATGCCCTTTTCCAGGTTATCTTTCCAACCCAGGGATTGAACCCAGGTCTCCCACAGATTCTTTACCATCTGAGGCACCAGGGAGCTAAGTTGTGGGTAGTTTATTGTCTCCAATAATGTCATCAGGACTCTCTCTCCCCCACGATCTCACCGCCCCACAGTTTCCCCTGTGTTGGCTTCAGTGTAGAGGAACTCAGAACTCCACTCACTTCTCATGAAACCAAAGACAGGACCCGCTCCACTGACAGGACCAGCTGGGGCCGTGACTGAACAAAGCCCGGTGGCCCCCGGAAGGCGGCTCTCTGCTGCACAGAGGACCACCTCCCATGCAGGACCCAGCGTACCTACAGAGGAGAACAGGACGGGACTGAGGATGAAGGAGGGGGCGATTTCCAAGGCTAACACTGGCCAAGAGTTACCTGAAGGCAAAATAAGAGCCGGAGGGCAAAAATAGCACTTAGCCACCACAGCCTGAGCTTGTTGTCCATTCTAGAACCTGTAACTGCACTGTCGTCCCTGTTCTAGAACTTGTAAGTGCATTCACTATTACATTCACCCATAACATAAACTCAGCTGACAACCACTGGTTGAGCATTTCAACCCATATTTTAATACCCTGAAAAGATGTCACTATTCACATAACATAGACCAAAAGATTTTCTTTATTCGTTTCACCAAAAAAAAAAAAAAAACAATGTTGTTATTGTATTGAAGATAGGTTGAGGGGGAAAAACTGTCCTCATGAAACCTGTAATCTTGCTTTGGAGAAAGCAGCCAAGTAAAATAACAATCAAAAAGTAGGTGACAGGCACTTTAAGAAAACAACCCATCTCCATCTTGTTATATTGAAAGAGAAAGAGAGAGAGGGAAAGTTTTATCACACTCCTTCATGACCAAACATCGGTTTCCTTTGGTAACACAACCGGCTGCCTCTCTGGATTAGGATATAAATTGGCAGAAAGGTCATTTTGGCCGAAGTCATCTCAGTGCTTCCCTGGCATGGCAGCCGAAGAAAAGGGATCCAAGTTCTTGGAGCGCTCAGTTTCAAAGCTGGAAAAACTCATGGATGTAACATCACAAACTCTGGAAATCAGCACCTTCAGGGCATAGAAAACAACAGATCACTTCATGCGAAATGAGCCACTCCTATCAGTGGCTGGGTCTATAAAAAAGTCTTTTTTAAAAAAAGGAGAAAGTGAGGAGATAGCCAATGTCCTGATTCCCACACCATTTAATCCCTGTGCCTCCCACACTTCACACTTGGTGGTCAGTTTCACTTACCTTTCTCAGGCTGATGTTTTGAACTTCTATCATGATCCCACAGAGTATATGACCTCTCAGGTGTCCTCTTGGCTGTGGACATCCTTTTCTCTGTCCGTAGTGACGTGCCATACAACTCGTCCTTCAGAATCTGCTGTAGCTGAAAGGGCTGGGCGGTAACTCCTTTCTCGGGCAGAGAATAACAACGCTTTCTTTTACTTGCTGCTGAGGCCTTGGTGACATATTTCGGGTAATTTAGGTCTTGAGTGATGACGGTGGTCACTGAATTACAAAGCTCATCAGAAGACTGATCTCTGCTTCTCACCTTGCTTTTAAAAATTTTCCTGTGGTTTATTAAAACCTTAGTTGCCACTGTTAATTGGCGCACTATACTTACACTGAGTTAAGGGATATCTTTTAAAAAAACTGCTCTGAGTTACTCTGTTATCCTTTTTTGCAGGAGGCACAGATGTGCTCCACTCAGGTGATCGAAGAGGCAAAGGGTTCCATTGTAATTACTGGCCCACACTGTGGGCCCAGCTGGGCTGACATTTTAATTTCTGTCTCTTTTGTGGCTTCCATTATCCTGGGGGCCAAGGTATGAACGTGTCTGGAATCACAATTTGTGGAAAGTTAGTAAAATTCTGGAACGGGGCCAGGACCATTCAGGGCTTGGGATGGATTTCTTGGAGTCTCTCCAAATGTATGGGTTGTCCATTAGTGCCACGTGGCCAGACTTGAGCCTAGAATAGATGGTTAAGGCAAAATTATGCTTACTGCCCTGGTTGTACAATGGAAGAAAACGGAGGTGAGAGGTCTGGAGAGGGTTGCTTCAGTGCTTTAGAAGGTTGGTTCTACAGAGAAATGCTTCCTGGGTGTAGAAAGGCGTTAGGGTGTTCAGAAAGCAGTTATTATATAGATATAAAAGATGAATTACAGGGAAAATAATGGCTAAGAATGAAAAGGCTCTGGTTTGCAGAAGATGTTCTGTCTCCCAAAAAGAAAGTAGTTCTATATAATGAATTAAAGCCTGGCACCCTGGTTCAGCCTGGGTAGCTGTCTCAGCTTCACCAGTTATCAGCTGTAAGTCTTTGAAAAAGTTAATTTCTCAGAAAAGCAGCAGTCTTTCAAAGTTAGGGTTAAATGAGGAAACACATATAAAATGTATAGCATAATGCCTGACAGACAGAAAGGGTTACTTCAAGCCTTATAAGGAAACAATCTAAAATGTTATAATCCAGTAGCTTATAAAGTTTAGGGGGTCTCAAACTGCCTTGGGAATTGGATGAAAACTATGGATTCTTGTTCCTCAAGGGAAAAAAATTTTTGTACACAGTTTAAGGAATTCAAATACACAAAAGAGTACAACCATAGACTTCAGGTTATTTCAAGTTTTTTCTTCTAGGGCTAGACTCATTCCTGGAGAAGGCTATGGCAACCCACTCCAGTACTCTTGCCTGGAAAATCCCATGGATGGAGGAGGCTGGTAGGCTGCAGTCCATGGGGTTGCACAGAGTCGGACATGACTGAAGCGACTTAGCAGCAGCAGCAGCAGACTCATTCCCCCGAGAGAGAATAAAGACATCAGTTTTATTTATTTTTTTATGATTTTTGATCATTTATAATTATAGTCTCTCAACTTTTTAAAACTGGAGGGAATTTTACCTAGTATAAACACCCCTCCCCCCTCCTTTTTTGGGAAGTAGCAATACTAAGGCCCTAGGAAAACTTGGTGTTTCAAATAAGCAGGGAACTCTATCAATTTCATATTTTTATAATTAAAAAGCTTAACTTTATCAACTGTCTTTCATGTTCAAGACGCTCCTTAAAATTTATTTTATTTCTGCCCCATTTTCAGTCCTGTTCTCTGAAAGATATCTACAGACTTCAGAAGCTCATGTTCATTCAAAGCCCATGATACATACAGAGATCTTTTTCTCCTTTGTGTATATTAGTTAGCATATTAAAATCTACCCTGCCATACTCATTTGATATTGCACTATTTAATGGAGCAGAGTCTTGCTGCAATGCAGTACTAGAGTACAACAGTAATAATTTCACCAGGCAAGAATTCAAATTAACCAAGACGTATCTGGACAGGCTAAGAGGCAGATGTGCCTGGAATGAAGAGAACCCAGACAGAAATGTGTGCTCTCAGGGGGCTTACAGTCTATGACAAATGATCTTTGCTTTTGTATTTGACTGGAGTTGAGATTCTGTTCTTAGACAGTACCAGAGACAACCTGAAAGGTTAGTTATGTGAATTCCACCCGTGCCTCCAACACTTTTCCTCAAGGAAAAACAATAGCCGACTTAGCACAGGCAGCATAACACACAGGATGGCCAAAATGTGCCTGGGCAAAATCCCACAGTACCTTCCCCTGGCCAGAGCATGAACCACTTCAGTTGGCAAACAGGCCATGCTTAGACAAGTCATCTCGAGGCTTCCCACTGCAAAAATAGTATTAGCTCTTCTACTTTGCTTCCAGGATACTTTGGGTGACTTTTGAGGGGAATGTGAATAGGAGAGCAAAAGCCCTGGGGTTGGCGGTTTGCTCTAGCGAAAAGGGGCCAGGAAGCAGGGCTGATGATGGAGAAAAAAGCCAGATGAAATTAAAGGGATGGGACACTGGCACATGAAAAGTCAGAAGTAGGTCAGATAAGTGACACGCCAAAGGCAAGAGATATTAAAAGGCTCTAGGAAATCATAATGACCTTGTTGCATGTGTTTCTGGAGAAGCAGAGGTGACTTGAGGTTGGTAAGGTTAACATGTCATTGGGATCCTTGGGCTCTGAGGAATCAACCTGATCTCACTCAGAAATAGGGTCAAATGATGTCAGTGAAGCCCTGAAGACAAAGCAAATAGAACAAAGCTGAGGTGGTGCTGAGCCAACTGTGGAACCCACAGGTGGGGCTGGAACTGCTCTTCACCCCAGGCCCTTGTCCTGCCTTGGGGGTCACATGGCTGGTCTTTACCTGGAAGCTCTTTAGGGCAGCCCCAGGGCTATAAGCCCTTGCACACACCCAAGCATCTGCCTTCCCTTTGCTTTTTCCACCTAGAAAAAATCTTACCACTCCTCGTAATCCTCCACATCTGGAACCTTATGTTTGTCTGGCTAAATATACTCCTCAGTTCTTTGAAAAAAAAAAAAAAAGGGAAGAAAACTCTCCTTGATGTTCTCAGGAGGATCCAGCTCAGACTTGGCTTCAGGGCCTTTCAACCTGAGATGTCCCTGTCTAAGCAATGAAGAACTATAGTGAAAAAGCAAAAATTATGTACATGATATCTGAGGAAGGTGAAATCGACCTAAATGAGCTACATCATCCAAGAGACACACTTATTTTCTCATGACATGGTAATGTGGTGACTTCTTTCATGGGTGCTCCTATTTTGCAGGCTGCAATATTTCTGGCAGATGAATTGCTTATCTCTTCTCCCAGTGAATGCTTTGATAGACAACAGTATAAATATCCTGTAGCCTGGGTCCTTGGTTTTGTAAACAGCCAGGAAATAAATATGGCATTTGCCTGATGACCAAGGCAGACTCATAAATAGACTTCCATAAACAGAGGGCAATTGTAAAAGGCAAAGATGAAATAACCCATGGCTTGGTCCATGCTTTATATATCCTCCCCATTTACACTTCCCAGAAGACCCTCTCAGTCCAGACCTATATTTAAAAAAAACCAGACCTATTTATAGTATGGTTAGCTTCTTACTAGAGTCATACAAAATGTATCAGGCATGTTATCTTTTGTGATATTGTCCATATTCCTAAAGGTAGTTAGTTGCCTCTTATAGAGCAGAACTGAGATCATTAGCACTGGCTAGCAGGCAAAGATCTTGATGGCAAGAGCCAGGGCACTCTATCTCAGGATTTCAGCTCTTAAATGGGAATAATACTTCCTTTTCATTAACTGACAAGCTGCAGCTCTTCTGTCAAAAGCTTAAGGAATGATTTTGACTCACTAGCTCTAGCTTTTTGCCTTTTCATACTCTAGGAAAAATAATTTGTTGGGAATTCCCTGGCGGTCCAGGAGTTAGGACTCCTCAATTCCACTACAGAGGGCCTGGGTTCAATCCCTGGTTGGGGAAATAAGATCCCACAAGCTGCACAGCATGGCCAAAAAAGAAAAAAAAAAGAGAATTTGTTGAGAGCAGGACACATAAAGGCATATATTCATGTGTGTGGATGCACTGTTATTATTGTCTAATCACTCAGTCGTGTCTGATTCTTTGCAACCACCGTGGACTACTGTAGCCCGCCAGGCTCCTCTGTCCATGGGATTTCCCAGGCAAGAGTACTGGAGTGGGTTGCCACTTCCTACTCCAGTGTGGATGCATATACCTCACGTACAAGCCCAAGTTCCAGGGAAGATGGTCTTTCTTCATCTAGAGAGAGGTTAGAATGTTGTCATTCAATTGTTGTCATTTAATTTCTCCTGACACTTAGATTCTTCATTTTCCAACAGGATCTCGGACACAGAATTCTCTATTTTATAATGTGACCGAACAGACTAATAGAAGACCAAAATGTATTTTGCAAACACAGTTGCAGTAAAGATGCTCGATGATCCACCTTGCATGTTACCAAGTACTTGAGCCCTTTAAAATCAAATACACTGGTAAATGGCACCAGGGAGCCCAAAACATTAAAATACAAATAAATTTCAATTGCAGTTGAACAAATATATTATTGCTGTATGAAAACTTTTAAAAGTAATAATAATAGCTAACATCTATTGAGTGCTCATAACTGGAGGGACACTGTTCTATGCACTTTACATAAATTTTTTCATTTAATCCTCAAAAAGCTCTACACAGTAATTACTAAAAAAAATGAAATTTGAAGGGTTTTTCAACAGTGACTAGATTATATAATATTAAGATAGAAAAAAAGTTCCAATTTCTCCCTTACAGAGCTCTTAGGTAACACATTTCAGGTCATAGCTGAAGTTCCACTGGTATAATGTATTTCCAATTGTCTCCATCCCTTGGCATTCCAGTTCCCCCCAGACATGTGAACCTCTAGATGTTTGGGTCTTCTTGGAGAAAGAAAATACAAAGTGACAGGTCTCGAATATACAGAAAGAACAGTAGAGCTGTTGCATCAACAGCAAGTCCAGCACAACCACAATCCTTCTGGGATGGCCCCAAGGGGAGCACCACTTTCTTTAATTCCCCATCCACAGCGTTTCCACAGGTGTGGCAGAGAGGACCTCATTGGTCAGGTGAAGCATCTCCTTTATTTTCCAAGATCTTAGCAAACCCCAAGAACTATTGTACCTGCAAGAGACAGAATGGGTTCAAGGGCGGCAGAGTT